GGGACAGTTATGTGAGAAAATATTGAGAAAACAGCCCAGAACAAAAAAAAATGTGTGCTCTTGTGTTTTGGTTGTCATCACAGCACGTGCAGTAATTTGAAAAGCTACTGTCAGATTTGTCCTTTGAGCTTAACAGACTTTGATTGTTTGTTTATACGCAGCTTTTCTTTTGTTCTAGTTGTTATGTAAGTGTGTTGCTGCAGTTTTGATGCGGAAATACAATGTAGTGTTCCTTAATTGCTTGTGATTAGATCAGCCATTTATCCACCTGAGACTGTCTCCATCTGTTGGGAATGGTGTGTTTGTTTCATAAAACACACACACACACAGACACGCACACAGGCACATCAGTATTCCACCTCGTGAGCAAAAACAAAGCTCTCAAAAAACTCTCTCATGCTTTCTTTCTGTACCACGTAATCAAACAGCGAACTGTACGACAAACTACAGGAGTGTGAGACCGCTTTCACAGTTTTCCAGTGAATCTGCGCCCCAGAGCACCAGAAATGTGAAAAACACAAAATACAAACACTGTGGCTAATGCAGCATCTGCCCAAAAACACACGTACGCTAACAAAACAAACACAGACCCGCTTCCGTTCTCCTATTTTTGTCAACACTACAGACATGATGCATGTAAAACACACATCCTGATCTAAACACACCCATTTATGAATATGTTTTAATGTTCCAAAAGATTTCTGTTTTAAGTAAATGCTGTTCCTCATAACGTTTTATTCATCAAAGAATCCTGAAAGAAAATGTATCAGTTTCCACAAAAATATTAAGCAGCAAAAACTTGATAATAAAAAACATTATAAATAGTTGAGCACATTTATTAATAACTGAGCATCAGTAATAATTGAGCATCAAATCAGCATGTTTCTGAAGGATCATGTGACACTGAAGACTGGAGTAATGATGCTGAAAATTCAGCTTTGCATCACAGCAATAAATTACATTTTAAAATATATTAAAATAGAAAAAAGTTATATTACTGTTTTTACTATAGTACAATGAAATAAATGCATCCTTATCGAGCACAGAGACTTTGTATATATGTTAAAAAATAATCCATATAATACCCAGGATATTATATTATATATCCAATTATACCAAAGTCATATGTGGATTTTTTTTAAATCACAGTATGCATATATATGCATACACATACTGTATACTGTGATTTAAAAAAAAAAAAAATCCACATATTATAGAAGATTTAGATCATACCACACACCCCTAATGGATCTATACCACACACACACACAGATGTATATTTATCCTTTTGCACAGATGTCTGCCTTTTCACATCCATAAACACATAAACAGATCCATAAACACATATGCACGCGGGTTTGGAGTAAATGACTCTAGTGCTGGTTTCCTCAGACTCCTTGCAGTCGCTGCACGCTGGGGAATGTATTTATTTAACTGAATTGGCTGAGTGTTTAGGCCCGGTCTGACTATATTAGCATGCAGCGAGTGTGCGGGAACGCTGGTCCTCAAGGGGTTTCGGTATCCTGGTGTGTAAGAAATATCCAGTCATGGAGCTGACACTTCCTTTGCAAACCAAACATGCATTTAATTACTGGCCAGACACCATGTAGCGAACCGTATGATCATGCACACACACACAGTGCAGAAACACATATGTGATGTAGAGAGCTGAGGTTATAAACCACACGGAAAGCACACTAATAGATCAATGAGATCTGGTCAGGGCTTTGAAAAACACTATAAATATCAGGCAAACATATTTTTAAAAGTCTTCTCTTGATAATCTCTAAAGGAATTACAGCTTTAATAATTACTGGTTGTGTAACCACTAAAAAGACTGCTGAAGAAGTCATTTTGACAGGTTGATTCTTCGCTTATGGCTCCGAATGATAATAGAGCCTTTATGTATTCCTCCAGTATATTAGGACCCTATTGAATCCGCAGGCGGTAGAACAGGCCTCTAATTGTCCCTATTGTGAGAGGAGGCAAGTATTTGACTGTTGCTCTCTCAGCACCTGTTGACTGAGACAATAACACATAAAACCCAGTGCTTATCTTTACTCGAGACATTTAAACTGAGAATAGCATAATAGAGGTCTAAGCCTTTCTGTATACTTGCACTATTTGCAAAGAAGATGTTAAGCAGATATGTGTGAAGCCTTAAATTTGCAATGTAACTTTCCATTTGTTGAAATAAAAGTATTTATGCCGTCAAAATGTCCGTTCAAACAGCTGATAAAAACATCACAATAATCCACAAGTAATCCGCATGACTCCAGTCCATCAGTTAATGTCTTGTGAAGTGAAAAGCTGTATGTTTGATAATTTTTTTTTTTTTAATTGAGTCCATAATCCATAATAATGCTTCCTCCAGTAAAAAAAAGTGCATCACCTGTTGAACTCCGACATCAAAATCCACAGACATATTTGTTTAGAACTCTTTTGGACTGTTTTTGCTTGTAAACGGTGCTTGATCTGTGCATATTTCTCTCATTCAGACAAGATGACAAAGTAATATTATGAATGGAGGACACATATATTTGCCAGAAGCAATGGTCTGAAGTTAAAAACGCAGCTTTTCACTTCACAAGATATTAACTGATGGTTTGTGGATTATTATAATGTTTTTAATCAGCTGTTTGAACTCTCATTCTGACAGCACCCATTCACTGCAGATGATCCACTGGTGAGCAAGTAATAACAAAAAAAGTATCTAAATCTGTTCCCATGAAGAAATAAATGTATCTATATAATGTATGGCCTCAGGATAAGTAAATTTCTTTAGCAAATCTTTCATTTTTGGGTGAACCATTCCTTATGAAAATATTATTTAAAACAATTAATTAATAAAAAAAGAGCTTACCCAAATCAAATTAATACTATTAACTTTTTTCACTTTAAAGAACTCCTATGCAATATTACATATTCAAAAATATTCTTAAAATACCTTTAAAAGTTTTGAAAAGGTCAAAATTCCTAAACAAATCAAATTACAAACATTCATAAATGGTGTGTATGAATATGTCTAACAGGCAATAGACATCTTAGTATACACTCAACCTCTCCATGCTTTCTACTGTATTTCTCCTCTGCTGTTTTTTTTCTGATTTGGCAAAAATTTGCATGTAAACATATTTCTCACTTTATCACTCTCCTGTGCTTGTCAGTTTATGCTAAACGGTTTGAACTTGTTATGTTTGTGAAAAAATAAGAGCAAGTGTTTCTTCTGAGAGCATAATGAGTCTGGGAAGGCCGCTTAGTCCAGCTTGTGTTATATTTTTCCTGAACTTATTATCAGAGAGAGAGAGAAGATGTTCTCACCAGTTCTGCATGGATATTTGTGAGGTTTCTCAAGGACCCAGTCAGCACATTAATCCCTGTAATTGATTGCTATTGTTATGCTAATTCAATTTTTAATTAGTATCACCTAACGTTTCCACTTCTAGTTATTACTGGATTGATTGCGGAGATTTAGCTCTTCTTTTCTTTTGCATACCTCTATTCTCTTTCTTTTCATTGATTTCTGAATGTGCAGATAGGCCTATATGACAATAAAGCAGTCTGATAATTAAGCTCTCTTTTTGATTTATGGTGTGCTCTAGATATTATGTAGATTGGGAAAAACAAAAGCTTTTTTAAACTTGACTCTCTCAACAACTTCGGTACAATCTTTGATTTATGCTTCCTCAGATGAGAGACATGCATATGATTAATAACACAGTACAGCGCTGATATGCTATAAAATTAATGAACAATATTATTGATTTTACTGCGTTCAAATGCAATTCACCTTAATTCAAATGGAATTGGATTGAACTGAATCGGAATTTGTGAGATAGCAAAGGCGGTGTCGGTTTGAATGTAGAATTGAAACCAGAATTAAATTCATGTAACTGCAGATAGATAGATAGATAGATAGATAGATAGATGGATGGATGCACGGATGGATGGATGAATGAAAGAAAGAAGGAAAGAAAGAAAGAAAGAAAGAAAGAAAGAAAGAAAGAAAGAAAGAAAGAAAGAAAGAAAGAAAGAAAGAAAGAAAGAAAGAAAGAAAGAAAGAAAGAAAGAAAGAAAGAAAGAAAGAAAGAAAGAAAGAAAGAAAGAAAGAAAGAAAGAAAGAAAGAAAGAAAGAAAGAAAGAAAGAAAGAAAGAAAGAAAGAAAGAAAGAAAGAAAGAAAGAAAGAAAGAAAGAAAGAAAGAAAGAAAGACATTTATTTTCCGAATAAAAATCATGTGTGTGGAAAATTCAATTAAAATTTCAAATCATTAATAAAAAGGAAGTACATTCATAAAATCTGGTGGCCATAGAAATGAATTAAAACTGAAAATATTATCAAAACTACTCAAAATCACCACCATCAGTCAATTTTAGAGTCTTCTTTTTTTTCTCCAAGACTAGCTCGACAAACAAAATATGAGAAGTCTGCTGTAAAATCTAGCTTGAGGGCAGGGAATGAGGGGAACAAATAAAAAATAAAAAGGGGGATTTGGGCAAAGTGAAAAAAAAAGACTGTGCTGTGCAGATAGATTTGGGTCAGGTTCATCTACCTGCAGGCTAACAGAGCAAATCAGATCCTCAGAGTTCAAATCAAAGGAAATCTTTTAAGTATGCTGAAATGTGAAGTCAATGACTAAACACTAAAGTTTTCTGTCAGGAATAATTACATTATAAACTTCCAGACTCTTAATGTAAACATCATACAGGCTATTCTTATCTAAATACTGTAATCTGCCATCACTGGCAATTATTACATTTTGTAATTTATAGCATGCTTCAATTAAATGCAATGCTCTCTTCCACTATTCTGAAGCAACTTTTAAATATTTTTTTAAATATTATTATTTTAATAATACTTAGTAATATTTTGGGAAAATAAGGCAATGTTTTGCAACTCCGCTTAACTTCATCAAATATACCACTATGGTGATTTTACAAAATTTTGACCACTCAGTGTATTCTAGATGCATATGACATATTCTTCTTTCTGTCTCTTTAGTTACACACTGACTTGGATAAAGGGCAAAGCGCAGTGAAATACACTCTCTCAGGAGAGGGCGCTGGAACCATCTTCACCATCGACCAGATCACCGGGGACATACACGCTTTACGCAGTCTGGATCGAGAGGAGAAGCCTTACTACACGCTACGAGCTCAAGCGGTGAACATCGAGACCAACCGACCGCTGGAACCAGAGTCAGAGTTTGTCATCAAGGTGCAGGACATCAACGACAATGAGCCAAAGTTCTTGGAAGGTCCCTACACGGCTAGTGTACCTGAGATGTCACCTGTGGGTAAGAAGCCCATTAAGACGTTTTCCTGATTTTTAATTAATTCATTCATTTATGGAAATAATGGAATACGGTTGAATTCATTAACTTTAGTTAATGAATCATGAACTAACAATGAAAAATCGTTTTACAGCATGTATTATTCTAGAATGATGTTATTTTTTTTTATAATTTATAAATAAAAAAATATATTTATTATTATAATCTATAAATAATATATTATTTAATTACTATATATTATATTTCTTTGTAATATTAATATAAGTCATGTTTGTTCATGCTACAAATCAATAAAGTAACCGTTTTAAACTACGGAAGCCAATCAATGAAGCCTTGATGATAGTTGGCATAAAATTGGGAAATGTATTCTTCAGTATAGTGGAACAATGCAAACAAACGTTGAATAAAATAAAATAATAAAATAAAATAAAATAAAATAAAATAAAATAAAATAAAATAAAATAAAATAAAAAGAAAGAAAGAAAGTGGAAGCCAATCAATGAAGCCCAAATGTTATAAGGATGACTGTCACTGTGTTACAGCGAGGGATGCTGGAGGTCATGTTTTTTCCACATGTTATGGAGTTTGCCAAATATTCATTGGTGTGGGAGAGGGGAGCTAATCCAGACATTACTGTGTGCTGTCAGATAATGAGAAGTGCATGGGCTCCAAATCCCCACCAAACTGGATTACACAGCCCTAGTAGGATTCCTCATCTCACATGGTAGAAACCTTGATTGTATTACTGATTATTTCACCAAGGCATCAGCTCTGGGTGATGATGGCAGCGGGATCTTATTTTGTTACTGTCTCTGCTTCTCTAAAAAGGCCCGTCTCTAAGGCCGGCCAGAAGTTGTATTGATTTCCAAACAGCCTAATCCAATCGCTATAACTACTAGCAGATCAATGTAGCGCTATCCTCTTGCATTCATGGAACACATTGCAGAGCTTGTTAAAGTCATAATGGCCTCCATTATTTGGACAAATATTCTTAATCATAATGTCAAATATGATTGCAGACGATGCATCAATCCCTGAGGCCACGCTGGGGAGCGATGTAATATGACGCTATGTTCACTGCAAACATGATGGTCAATGAAGTGCTGCTTGCTTTGTGTTATATAACATTTAACTGGATACTTCACAGACTTATAGTCAAAATGATAGACAAGGGCACAGAAGAAAGCTCGCTTGTTAACCAGTTTAGTTGCAAACATGAGAAAAGGGCCCACAGTTGTTGCTTGCCTTCATTGCATGCTATTAAAACATATCAAATATTGAAACCATTTATAATTGGACTTCAACAAGTCTATACATTTCCATATCATTTTTACAAACATGGCACAATTAAGCTTATTCTTCAGCAGAGTGGAACAATTCAGACAAATGCTGGAGCATAAATTAAATTAAATTAAATTAAATTAAATTAAATTAAATTAAATTAAATTAAATTAGTCTTAAATGAAAGCATTCAGAGACTATTTTAGGGTAAGCAAAATTCAGCGGAACTGTTCATAATCGATGAAAAGTGTCTGATAAGACGTCTGTTGTGCTTCAACATTGCTATACAATGATGCACGTCCTGATTTTGCCGAGTTAGATGTGTTCCTAGGTCAACATATTTTGTTGACACTGGAACAGCATTTTAATCCAAAATTTAGTCTTGACCATATCTCAGGTTCTGCATACAATTATATGGAAGTAAACAAGAAACAACATTAGGTTATCTTAAAATATTACAATTACGTTTTTGTCTCCATCTGCCCTATATGTGTGTATAATTTACTTTTGCAGTACTACACAAGTGTCTTTACTGTTGAGTGGTCTGTTGTAGCATGTAATTAAGTTGGTCTATTTAAGTGGCTCCCTGTGGTTGCAGAGAGCAATGCTGAAAAAAAAAATGTATCACACTTAAAACATCTGAAATGTTAAAGTCCATTGAATTTTAATCCATGTCTATTAACTTTGAGGTCATCTGTGTGCTATTATACTTCCAAAAAAAGGCAAAACTAATTATTTTAATTTAGTAGTAGTAGTAGTAGTAGTAGTAGTAGTACAATAAAATATTTGTTAACACTTTAAGGTGTCCTTGTTACACGTTACAAATATTCTTACTATTATAATAAAAATAAATTATGCATAATTACAAGCAAGTAACCCTAACCCTAACACTAACCATATATTAAGTGCATGTAGTTAATTAATATTACTCAGTTCTAATGTATAATTACACTGTAGCAATGACACCTTAAAATAAAGTGTAACCAAATATTATCATAAAGTAAAAATAATGGCACACTGAATGCTACTATACATATGGGTCAAAGATAAGATGTCCCGTTTTGGTGTCTGCTTCAAATTAAATTTGCAAAAGTGATTTTACATGCACAGAAAGCATATTAAATGCAAGTAAAATGTCTACTTTAACGTTTGTGTAAATACAATGTCAAAATATGGGTGACATAATGTTCCATTCTAATTCAAATATCTAAATGAAAAAAGTGACCATACAAAATTATATAA